GGGGGGGCGGGGAGCCCACCGGGCGGGAGGAAGGCCCTAGAGTGGAGAAGAGAGCAAGCAAGTCAAGGGCTGTGTGTGTGTGCAGACTTGGGGCACTACACCCACTGGGTCCCGAGACCAGAGAGTGGGCACCGTTCATTCGTTTGCTCACCTATTCAACAACTACTTACTGATCACCAGCTGTGTGCTGGTCACGGCGCTGAGCAGCACAAGCTTGTCACTGTGACCTGTCGTGCAGGAAGGACTCCCAGGGACAAAGCATTAGGGCTCCCCAGGAATCAACACCCCTGGGGAGACAGGCACCCCACCCCATCGCAGGAATAGCCGGGCAGAGGCAGGGGGGAGGAGGGGCATGAGCAGCGGCTGAGGGCAGGGGGCTGTGTGCGTGCTGATGTGAGTGTTGGGGATGAAGAGGAGAGTACAATGGGTGTATTTCCCACTGAAATCTCAACGCATTTATTTATAGAATCCGCTAAGCAGTTACCTGCAGGCCCTACAGGAGAGCCTACGGCCCTGGGAGGAATGTCAGGGTATTGCCCGAGGCACCCGATACCTGGCAGAGTCAGAAATGATATTTCAGACACATCTGGTTCCAAAAGCCGCTGACCAATCACAGCCATGGCCGTGCCCAAGCTCACCATTTTAGAAAGAGTGCCCTGGGTGACAGCAGCCCAGCTGAAGGATGTATTAAAAGAACAGTTTCTTCTTCACTAACGACAAGCCCACATCACCTCCTCAAGATCCCAAGTGAAAACCCCCAATAGCCAGGCTGGCCCCATGGCAACTCAGGGAAGTAACTTACAGCGCAGCCTCTTTCTCCTTCACCTCGCGGGCACTTTCGAGTTCCTCTGAGTTTTCGTGGGCATTTCCTAAGGTGGTCTTACTTCTCGGCGTGAGGAAAAGAAAGAAAACTACAATTAGTGTTTTAATGGCCAAGTTGCTAATGATTTTGGTGCTATGTAAAGCTCAACGATTCTTCTCCCAACCCAAAGAAATAAGTACTACAGAGTTTTCATTGAGGATCTACAGGGTGTCCCCCCAAAAAAGGTATACACACTTTAACAGCTGAGAATTCACTTAATTTTCACTCCTTTTCGGGTTTAACTTGTTTGAAATAATGAGTGAAGCCAGACTATGCTATGAACAAAGAAAATTTATCCTCAAGTGCCAGCAGACTTATTTTTCAATGGAGAAACATAAAAGATAAAGTTTACAGTACAAAACCAGCATCCGTGGATGAACTGAGGGCGCACAAATACGGAACAAAATGATCCTTGATGCCTGCGATCCCAGGGCCTCGTGCTATCAGCAGTGCCTGGGCCAGAACGGTCATCAGTTTGAACACAGACATTGACAAAAAAAATTTATTCATTTCCCTAGATTCTTTTAAATTTTGAAAAATGAACTGTATGTTAATACACACTGATTTTATAGTCACCCGGAGTGCAAATGCATTCTGGGGGGACGCCCTGTGTGTTATGCATGGTTCTCTCCAACGCTCCCCAGCACTGACCCAGAGTCAGTCCCACAGCCCGAGGCAGCAGACAAGGCCCTGGAAGCTGCTCCTCCGGAGGAGGCCCTGGCCCTTAAGTCTGTGAGAACGAGCTCAGACATCACGCGCACCTCTCCCGTCTTTTCCCCTGAACCGGGTCACTTGATCCTGCTTCCCATTCCCAGCCACCCAGACTCCAAACACGGCCAGGGCAAGACTTCCTGCCCGCCAGCTCCTGGAAGGGCGTCCACACCCGCGGGGGACAGCAGTGCCTGCTTCACACGTGACACTGCATCTGAGGCTACTGGGCTGACGCATGGATGGCTATTTTCCACACAGGACACACATATCAGCACATGTAAGTTTTACCGCAGATGAAGCATTTAAGGGGTGGTAATGAAAACTGCAGCAGATGACAAAATAAATGACAACAGATTTTTGAATGGGCTGACAACCTGGGCTTGACAGCTCCCCTTGGCACTCCACCCAAAACACAGAGACGTGATTGTGCAGTGATATGAAATCATCACACATCAAGAGAGCAGAATGG